TCCGCTGTCGTAACATATTGTTTTAATCTAATACGTTCCGAGAATATTAGAATTTATGTTGCAGAAAAAAAAAGTGTTTAACTTATAATGTTTAAGAGTTAAGGCACAAATAACTATGTTTTAATTTATAACATCTCAATCTTCTTGGAACTCAAGGTACAAAGTAGTACTCTGTTAAGTTACTTCGTTTAAAGCTTTTTAGCAGTCAAACAACAAGAAAGTTGTGTGTCAATCTACAGAGTTTCACGCTTGTTAGAACATGACGCACCAAATAGCGTTTTCATCTTCAACATTCCAAACTTCTTAGGAGTCAAGGCAGAAAATCGTGTTTTCATTTACAACGTTCCACATTTGTTGGACGTTAAAGCACAAAATAGTGTTTTAGTCTACTACGTTCCATGTTTCAGAGAAATCAACGTACAAAAAATGTAGTAGTTCTAATTTATAACGTTCCAAGCTTATTAGAATCAAGGCACAAAGAATTAGTGTTTCATTCTACTTCGTTTCATATTTGTTAGAAGTTGAGGCACAAAGCAGTATTCTAATATAGAAAAATCCAATCTTCTTGCTCTCCAGTGGTATGGCAGTATATCTGCGGGCTTACAGTGCTAGAAACCGGGTTTCTATACTCGTGGTGAGCAGAGAACAAATAGCTCATTGTGTGGTCTTGTGCTTAACTACAAACAAACAAACCAATCTTTTTAGAAGTCAAGGAAGAAAGAAGTAGTGTGATAATTTATAACGTTCCAATTCTGTGAGAAGTTAAGGCACTTAGAAACAGTGTTTTAATTTACAACTTTTGTTAGAAATCAAGAAAAAAATAGTAGTATTTTAATATACTAAGTTCCAGACTTTACAGAAGTCAAACTTTGCTTGTTTGGAATTTCGCGCAAAGCTACACGAGGGCTATCTGCACTATCTGTCCTTCATTTAGCAGTGCAAGACTAGAAAGAAGGCAGCTAGTCATCACCACCCACCGCCAGTTCTTGGGCTACTCTTTTACCAACTTTATAACTCCCCCACGGCTGAAAGGGTGAGCATGTTTGGTGGGACAGGGATTCGAACCCGCGAATCGAGTTCCCTAACCACCTGGCCAGAAGTCAAAGAAATAGTTTTTATCTAGTACGTTTCGTGTTTGTTAGAAGTATGATTGTTTGTTTTGAATTTCGCGCAAAGCTACACGAGGGCTATCTGCGCTAGCCATCCCTAATTTAGCAGTGTAAGACTAGAGGGAAGGCAACTACTCATTACCACCCACCGCCAACTCTTGGGCTACTCTTTTACAAACGAATAGTGGGATTGACCGACACATTATAACGCCACCACGGCTGAAAGGGCGAGCATGTTTGGTGGGACAGGGATTCGAACCCGGGGCTCTCAGATTGCGACTCGAGTACCCTAACCACCTGGCCATGCCGGGCCTGTTAGAAGTAATATTTCAGTTTAGAACTTTCCAATATTATTAGACTAAAGGCACAAAGAAATATGGTTTTAATTTATAATATAACAATCTTCTTAGAAGTTAAGGCAGAAAAATTTAATGTTTCAATTTACAATATTCCAGTCTTGTTAAAAAACGGATAAACAGTACTTGTATTTTAAATTACTGCGTTCCAAGCTTTTTTGGTAGTGAAGGGACCAAAAAAAAAGTTGTGTTTTAATCTACTACGTTCCAAGCTTTTTGGTAGTGAAGGGACCAAAAAAAAAGTTGTGTTTTAATCTACTACGTTCCAAGCTTTTTGGTAGTGAAGGTACAATAAAAGTAGTGTTTCAATTTTTAACATTACAATCTTAATAGAGTTCAAGGTAAAAAGTATTAGCATTTGAGCTTACTGCATTCCACGCCTTTTAGTGGTGAAGGTACAAATAAGTTGTGACGTAGTACATTCTACCCTTCTTAGAAGTCAAGGTAGAAAAAATAGCGTTTTAATCTAATTCGTTCAAATCTTGTTAGAATTTAAAGCATAAAGAAGTAATGCTTTAATTTATAACTTTCTAATATTATCAGACGTAAGGTGCAAAGAAGTAAGTGTTACATCTCTTGTTTGTTAATTTTTCTGCGATACAAGTCCTTTTTTAAAAAAAACTTGTTTATTCTTCCTCAATACAACTTTGCAATACACTTAATTTTCACAGTTACTTTGACTTCAACACACACTATAGTTCACAAAAATTCACTCACTTTCTACCGCGCTTGACTCAATTATCTGTCTCTATCTCCGCCCGTCAGCAACTATAGTTCCGATCTCTGTATCTGCTATCCTCGGTTCCCGCCGACCGTAACTGCTGTCCTTGGTTCCCCACTCTCTCTCTCTAGCGCACTTATATACGATAATACCGCCTCTTCTAGAATCTTCTAGGATCTCAACACGTGCTACCAGCGTCACGTGACCCCCGCTGTCGTAACATAAGGTTTTAATTTATAACGTTACGACCTTCTTAGAAGTTAAAGCACAAAAATGTAACCTTTCAAATTACAAGATTTCAGTCTTGTTAAAATACAGATAAAATGTAGTTGTATTTTAAACAACTGCTTTACAAGCTTTTTTGGGCAGTGAAGGGACAGAAAGTAGTTTTAATCTACTACGTTCCACGCTTCTTAGAACTCAAAGTAAATAGTAGTAGTTTAAATTTATATTCTTCCAACCTTGATAGAACAAAGCAGTGGGATTTTCATTTATTATATGCCACGCTTTTTAGTAGTTAGGTAAAGTGGGAGTATTGTTTTGAACTACTACACTTCACACTTTTTAGAAGACAAGGTATAGTAATAATTTATAACGTTCTAAGCTTATTAGAAAATTGTGTTTTAATGTACAACGTTCCTTGGGTGTTAGAAGTCAAGGCATAAAGAAGTGTTTTAACCAACAACATTCCACACTTTTAGGAGTCAAGGCACAAAGAAATATTGTTTTAATCTACTACGTTCCAAGCTTCTTAGAAGTTAATGCACAAGAAAAGTAATGTTCCAATTTATAACGTTTAAGTCTTGTTAGAACTCAAGGTAAAAAATAGAGGTATTTTAATTAACCGCTTTCCACGCTTTTTAGCAGAAAAAAAGCAGTGTTTTAAAATATAATATTCCAAGTTGTCAGAAGTCGAGGAACAAAGAAATATTGTCTTAATTTATAACGATCCAATATTTTCAAAAGTTAACATAGTGGCAGTGGATATGACAAATATAGTGTGTTTGGAATATTATTGTTATACACTTTTAATTCTTGAAAATCCTTAAGGGACTAGATTAAGAACGTAGCGTTTAAAAATGTAATAGGTCTTGCTGGATATATAAGCGTAAGAGTTATTATTTAGTGATCTAATATTTAACAATTATTAAGTTATTTTCATAACAAGTGTGATAAAAGTTAATTATTTTAAAGGCGATAGTTATGACAAATTTCGTTACGTAACTCGGTAAGCCTTACGTTGTGTATGTTGTAATTTGTCTTGTTAAAGGGTGTTCTAAAATAACTGAACTTGCCTGTGTGGACTTTGCCGAAAAGGTGACAACTATTTAAAGTTCTGGATACAACTGTGGTAACCCACAGGGTAATGCAAATTAATCTATCGCAGAATGTGCTGTAAAAAACAGAGTAGAGAAGAATAATTCGTCTTGTCAATTGGGTTCTAATGTAATTGTACGAGCCTGTGTGTGCCTTTTTAAAGAGAATTATTTAAAGCTCTGTATACAACTGTGGTAACTCACGAGGTAACGTAAATGAACTTATCACTAATTATATTGTGATAACAGACGAAAAAAAAAAAGGATTTTTTCGAATTTTATATACAACTATGATATTATATAGTGTAAAGAATTTTTGTACATACTTTTGACTTGTTTTGAATATATTATTTTCAAACAAGTAGATTGTGTGCTGTCCGTTTATTGTTTGAATTTATCGCCAACAAGTCACAGACACCTACTGTAGAAGAATCCCAGCCAATATTAAAACCCTGACAGGCCTAATATTAATATCTTATGATAAATATAATTGTAATTCTTCTACTTATTTGTTGAAAGAAGAAATGCTAAATTTCAAAGAAAAACAAAAGGGAAAATCTTTGTTCTAACCCATTAAACAAAGCATGTGAAAAATCAGGAGTTAACAACATGAAAACTATAAAAAAGTAACATAGCAAACAGAAAATAAACAGTCAGTAGGCAACATATAAGAAGCATATATAGCACCATTACAACTGCTATAAAATATACTAAAGCTTCTTTAAAATGAGCACCACAATCTTAAACAATATTGTAAAAAAAACCATAGAAAATATTTATTATATGCTGCAACTCATGCAGGTACATAAACTGTATACATATATATATTTTTTATACAAAGCTACTCATAACTATCAGTATCAGGTACAACATTTCCTTTTGACAGCTGTACATAGATTTCAAACTGAGAAAAAATATTGTATACTCTGTTTTAAAATAAAAATAACTACTAAGCATACTTTTTCTACTGAGAATAAAAATATAATGTTCCAGTTGTATTCAGAACATGCTTCCAATAAAACTTTTATCAAAGCAACATGAACAAACAAACGTCCAGGCAATTTCCTTTAACAGGAGAACGTAGAAAACTTTTGTACACGAGAAAGTCTGATCTATCTTATTTTGAAACACAAATAAAGTATGAATAAAAAATGTCTTCAACAATAAAGCTTTACAATGAATTCCTTTTTTTTAACAGACTAAATGTAGAACCTCTAATAACAAAACCAAAACCACATATTATTACATATTGGAAGGTCAATACTACACAGCATTTCTAAACTTGAAATATTGTTAAGGAATGTGAGAAAATTGTTAACCGAATTTTGATCAATACATGTAAATACTGAAATATATGATGTATCTTAACGATTTTTAAAATTGTAGAGAACAATTGAAGAAAACACAGAATAAGGTCATATAATGTGTGTGCGTGCATATTTATAATGCACATACACTTTCATAAAAGTTAAAAAAGGCTTGCTTAAGTGATATCACATTATTCTTAAAGCTTTACAAAACTCAGTGACCATTCCTTAACAAGTGCAAATTTCTAAGTTTACAGTTTCTGAGCATGAGTTATCTATCACTCTGAAATGCCTTGCAGTGTTAATTCTGTTAGAACATTGTCCAAATACTGAGGATCTGGATAACCGTGGCCTGTGATATTTGAGCCAAATTCAGTCTTATGGTGAATTTCGTTCCAAGTTACTGTGTTTGGTTCACCAGTTGTAGATGACACCCCGACAGTAAAGATAAGCCGGCGTTCCCATGCCTTGACTAAGAGTCTCAGCACCTGTAGATAAAAGTTTAGTAAGTATTTTAGATTACCAAGATATGATAAAGACATTTTGAAAAAACTTTAAAGTTTGCACTAGACAGACTTATTTCTAGCTAAGCACAATGTCAGTCTGTCACTGATGGAGAAAAAGTTTTTCAGTTGTATATTAGAACATAGATGGGATGATCTTGTACATTAACCTAAAAGTTATATCAAATAAATAATTTTAAAAGGTTACACTTTACATATAGTCAAAATTTGGGTGAGACAACATTTAATTGAGTCTTAGTGAAGGTTTGTTGCTTTAAATTCTGACTGCATTTTCTTTTTATAGTAACAATTTTAATCTTCTTTGTATTTTCAAATATGATTTTAACTGTTAGAACATGTGTACACAAAAGTGTATCTTAAAGCCAAACACAAAGTGTGTACAGATGGAGATGACTCTGCAGTTATTTATTCCAACTATACAGTTTCAAAATACTCGAATAACAATAAACAGATAAAATTACTACAATACAACATAGTATTGAAACTGATGGTGCACACACAGCACCAAAAAGAAATAGTTACTAGCCAACCAACACGGTATTAAAAGTTAATATTTTCCAATACTAAATATGTATTTCCAATAGGTACTTACCTCTTCTCACATTCTCGATTCATTACTGCTGTCTATGTGCGAAATTGTTTCGTTCACCACTACACGTGATATTGCTGCATTGTTACGTGCAAATAAACATGCGACAACCCTCCATTAATGGGAATACAATATATTCTCCTAGCATAGCTGACCCCCTCTATACTGAGTGTTCAAATATCACTTCGAGATTAGACAAGAAAAGAAGCACCGGAAGTGGGAGGTTAGTTTCTATCACAAATACATTTTCGGTAATGGAAAATGTTCACATTTGAGATAATATGTAACCTTTTCTCACATACAGCTAGAATACCATGTTGAAGTGGTGGGTGGATGGGAAGATACAAAATTGATCTACATGAGCATCCTTCAGGAAATGTCTGATGGCAACCCATGGAGTAACACACCTATACCATTTAACAGTATAGGAGCACACCCATGAAGAACTGCATCTCGTCTTTACCAGGGTATGCTCTTCACCTGTACATAAGTGTCACTAGGACAGACAGAATATACAAGCATAGTTCAAAACCTGCATCAGGTTCATGGAAGTGCTATATGTGTAATATGGCTAGTGTGCATCAGACCATACATGGTGGTTAACTTCATTCCAAAACCAGGTGGCACAAGGAATATGTTGCCTGGGTTGCAGTAGAAGAATGGTCCTCACCATCTTCACCTTGAGCCAAGTGAAGCAGAATGGGAATTTATCATCCAAACTGCAATTGCGTGAGTACTTATGTTGGCTGTTCCTGTGGCAATTCAGTACAAAACCAATCAGAAACCCAACACCTGGGCAGTAGTAGGATGAGGGAAACCAGCTAGAGGGATGAACTGTACTACACAAACAGAACACAACTGCCCCATTCTCTACTGAGTGGAATGGGTCACACTCAGTAGGCATCCTTCATGGTCCACCACCCCAGCAGCTTGGAACTGGTAAGCAGCAAGGACTCCCATGCTCCACTAGAAGAAAAAAGGGGAATGAAAGCATCTTGGGGAGCCCAGAGGAACATATTAAAATAAGATAGTACAATGGGTGACCATAAAAACCTTATTTTTAAAAGCAGGCAAGCACTAGTTTCTAAATTAGGCATGGAGGATGGGCAATAATTTTCTGCCTAGATTACTTATGATAGTCCACGAGTGGGTATGATCTGGATCAGGCCTTATATATGAAAATGAGCACTTCGAGTAGTCTTATGGAATACTCCATCTCATGAGTGAGCCTATATCAGCTTTTGATGGTCCTACTATATGGATTTTGTATAAGCATACCCTGGCAGGCACCACTCGCCACTGAACAGGATCCTGTAAAGCATGAGAAGGCTGTATACAAGTAAAAAAAAAAAAAAAGAGAGAGAGAGAGAGAAAGAGAACTTACCCAGTCAGAGCTTGTATGAGGTGTGGTGACCAGAGATAGTTTATAGCCTGAAAAAGAAGATATGGCAACTTGATGGAGATAGTGTCAAAAAAAAATGTGAGGGCTTATCCACATGCTAACCCAAACAATCTCCTCCAGTAGACAGTGGAAATGAGTACCCAATGAGTGTATAAGGTGTTGGATATGATGTGAGGATTTCTAGAAACATTGATGAACATCTCCATATAAAGAAGAATATGCTAAATGGATGAGCTGATGAAGCTATCAAGTAAGGGTAACTGGAGAAAATCACGGGTGGAAGAAGAATTCCAAGGAATGAATAGACAGGATCAGTAACCATGAAAGGGAGCAGTGTGGGCCAAATAAGAATGGGCCACACAGACAGGACAGAGTAGGTGATCAGGATCTGAGTGAGAATAAAGATGAGGAATAGGTGGAAGATATACAGGAGTGAATATGCTGTCACCCTTATGTGTCACAGACAAATTGGGAAGGAAAGTGCAATCAGGATGGAGAAGAACATATGAGTGATGGAAAAGATTGCATAAAGAATCAATGACCTTTGGCAAAAAAGAAAGAGATGGTACAAGGAACAGGAAGCCAAAGGTTCAAAGGGCAGAGCACAGAGAACAACATTCAGGTCCCCACTGGGAAAGCAAGAAGAAAAGGACAAAGAAGGTGAAAGAAAGAGCACAGTGAAAACTGAGGAGGAAAACTGGAAATAGTAGAAAGAGCCACTTGGCAACCAGCAATGGTTGATACTGATAAACCCTGATCAAAAAGCCAATGTGAAGAATTCTGAGAGATGGGGAAGAGAAGGACGAAAAGAGGAGAAAGAATGATATTGTGACCAGCAACAAAAAAATGCAATTTCTAATGATAGATAAGGAGGGAAGATGGTCAAATAGAATGGGAAAGGAGGAAACCTACATGTGAAGAGAGTTTGGAATGTCTAGCAAGGGTCTGGACAAATCCCATGGATGAATTCAGAGTGACAATACAGCTGGATGACAGAGAGAAGAACAAGGTTGAAGAGGAAGAGAAGAAGAGGACTGTATAAGGTTCAACAGAGGATACTAGGTTTGAGTCAGCCAGTAGGGTACCACAAGAAAGACCTGACAATGAGTGTCCCAAATGAGGGCCAGAACACAAGGGAGAAGACAAACAGAGGGATAACCAGTTCTGACTGAATGAATGTGTCCACCACCAAAGCTAATGGATGCTGAACAGGAAAAGGAAAGCTTGGCATTGTTGTAAGTGGCAATAGCATCTGTGAGAGGGGTGCCCAGATGAGAGCACAGCCACTTGAAAATCTGAGATTTAAGGGACTATTTCGTGGAAAAAAATCCTGTTTGGCTTCAAAGAATGATCTGCAACAAAATTCAGAACATAACATGCCACTAGATAGACTTCTAAGGAATGGGCCCAGAAGAGAAGGTTGAGGATGTGGAAACACAGAGAGTGAGATCAAGTGCTCTCCCTGGTGATTGATAGAGGAAACTACAGTTGAGTTGTTCATAAGGGTCAGAACCAAATAGCTACACAAGACTGTAAGAAAATGATCGAAAGCTCGACAAACCACCAAGAGTTCCTAAAGATTGATATGAAGAATTAATTCTTCTGTGGTCCATTGACCTGAAATCTCCAGAGTTAAGACAAGTGCCCTACCATGTAAAGGAAGCATCTGTAAAAAGATAGAGATCCTGACAAGAGGGAGGAAGAGGAACACCTTCTGTCAAGCCACAAGGTGAAAGATGAATGAGGAAGAACAGAGATCCTGAGAGAGGTTCCACTGATTGTGCAGAGTTCAATGCAAATGATGCATGTGAGCATGGCCCAAGGGGATAAAGGGTTCCACAGAAGCACAAGTTCCCAACAGAGAGAGAACTACCTATGCAGGAAGAGAAGGAGAGGACACAGCAATGGAAAACAATCACTCCATGTCCCTCAAAAAATGCAGAGAAGGCTGGGCTGTGCTGAGGTGTGAATTGAAGAACATACCCAAATGAACCAGATATGAAGTGGGTGTGAGATGAGACTCCTCCAGCTTGACTAACCAACCAATCAAAATGTGCTGCCCCTGAAGGAGGAGAAGAATATCGTCATTGGAATCCTATTGAAATGGACATAAAAATTACTACCCATCCAATACAGTATTGAAACTGGTGGTACATACACAACAAAATCCACATAGTTACTAGCCATCCAACACAATATTGAAACTGGTGGTACATATACAATAAACAGAAGTATATGAAGTTTGGAGATGGTTTGAATGAGCAATAAAATAAACTTTATTAGCAAATGTACAAGGTTTTGACAAGCTTTTGTCAACATTAGGAACAAGTAGTTTACATAGACACAGCTATATATAAGCAATATAGAACAAAGAGGTTACATGACCGGAGATTGCATAACAGTTCAGTAAAGGTATCTTCATACTGTAGGGTATTGGTTTAGAATAGGACTGTTTCATTCAATTAAGATAACTTCCTTTTGTTCAAAATTACAGTGTTATAAGTTTTTGAGTTGCAATGTCAGTAAACATGGAAGGGTATTTTTATTATATTCAGTGAATCTGGTTTCCAATTTTCTTTCAGTTTCTCTGATGTAGAATTCTGGACAGTTATTGCACATAATTTTACAAATGATATTGGTATTGTGTGATTCTACATAATTTTTTTTTAGTAATGATTTTAGTTTAGGGCCAGGTTTTTGAGTAAATTTGAAATCGGCAGAGATTCTACATTTAATGGCAAGTTTTGTCCAAGTGTAGATTATCTTTTAACTAATTTCAGGGAGGAATGGCAAACTGCAGTGTAATGCTGTGTTTTTGTTTGGTTTATTAGTGTCAATGTTCTTCTTGGGTTGAGATTTAAGGTTTTTGTTCAGATGGTTGCATGATAATTTTTTGACAACAGTTGGTGCAAAGAAAGGAATGCTTTACAAGGTCGATTTCTTCACCTATGTTGTCACTTGAGCAAAGTCTTGAAGCTACATTTATACAGTTTTTTAATGTATTGATTTTTTTTGTTTGGATTCATGGGCAGAATTCCAGGGCATGTAGAAGCCCGTGTGAGTGATTTCTCAATAAATTTTGTTTTTGAACTGTGTACAAGATCTCATAATTTCAAGGTTAGGAAAATATTACTGCTTGTTAGTTTTGTGTACAATGGTGAATTTAATATTTGGATGAAAGGCGTTTATGTGTTCAAAGAAAGTGTGTATGTGTTTGGTAGAAGTAAAACAAGTAAAATTGTCATAAACATACATGTGCCAGTATAGGGGAGGATGAAACTTGGATTGTATTTCAATCTGGGTCATAAATATGTCAGTAAGAACAGGTGAAATAGGATTGCCCATGCTTAAACCATCTATGTGAAGAGTTTTTGTTGTTGTAAATTCTAAGAGGGAAACAAGAAGTGTACTGGTGATGTGAAATGAAGGAGTGGGGGTCATTGAGGTAAAGGTAAAGTGCAATATTACTAGCTTCCTTCACAAGAACTTCGGTATAAAGTGACACAACATCAATTAAGGCTTTAGTTGGTTTAATGTGTTTCTGAAAGTAAAGATATCCATAACAAGGAATCTGCAGATGTTTATATATGGTGTAAAAGCCCAGGTTATCTAACTGTTAAAACTGTAGTTAAATGAGTCATAAGTGAATAATATAGGTTATACGGAGCAGTCCTGTTCATGGGGTTTAGGAATGCCATACAGTTGTCTTGTGTATGAGCCATGTTTCTGTAGATAAAACTTTCTGTAATCAAATTATCTTTCTTCATGTGTAATAGGGTTCTGTTCAGTTGTTTGTTAGGTTGTTTGGGATAAGTTTAAATCTCTTTTTATTGGAAAGGGTGTCTTTAATTTTTTCGATATATTCTGTGTTGTTTGTGATTACAGTAGTGCTGCCTTTGCTAGTTTTCAATTTTAATGTTAGTGTCTTTCTTCAGATTATAGATGCATTTAATTTTGTTGCTTGGAAGATTAATTTTCAATTTACAGGTTTGGTTGACTGCATTAAGGGTTATGTTAGAGAATTGTTTAAAAAGGTTATATAAAATAGTTTTTAGGAACTTCATGGAACCACAGTTTGTTATAATTACTTCTCATAAAAGTCTGATGGCTTCTGTTCTGGATTTCTTCTTATAGTTGGAATATATCTAGTAAAAATACAGCAATTTTAAATAAAGAACCAAACATGAACAAATCCAAAACTGAGGCAGCCATCTTAATTGAACAAAACAGCCCTACTATAAACCAACACCCTGGAGTACCAAGATACCTTTACTAAGCTGTTAAGCAATCTCTGGTCATATGACCTTTTTGTTCTATACTGTGTATATATTGCTGTATCTATGTAAACTACATGTACGTGATGATGACAAAAGTTTGTCGAAATGGTCCATTTGATAATAAAGTTTGTTTTATTACTCATTCAAGCCATCACCAAACTTTATTTTTTTTAAGTGAGTTCCTTGTTATAAAATCAGCTGCAGAGTATCTAGCTGTGTAACACAGTACTTAAAAACAGCTTCTATCCATCCAACAATAATAGAATCATAGATGTTACAATTCTGTGTTTGATACATTTCTTAACGTGATATTCACAATAAAAAAAAAGATCATCATTACAGATAACACTTTAACCTTTTCTTTCTTTATTTAAAGTGTTCAGCAAGTGATGCACTAAAGTATTTTATTTCATATCTTACTAAGAAGCCCTGCTTGGTATAACAAGTAGATACTCTCTCTTTTCATGGTTTTCAAGATCATACATCTAAAGGAACTTTTTTGATGTATGTGTATTATTGAAAGTGGTTCAACTCTTCAATCACATGAGACACACAAAAAAACAAAACAAACCAAGAGATGTAATAATTATAATAGTCCTAGCATATTTGCAGTAAGAAAATAGTATTTTAACTACACTTTTCCTTTGTACATACTGTCAACAAAGTCTTTCATTCAATACCAGATAATACTTTGCAAACTTAGACACCATAAATCAAACTTATGTCAGCTTGAATCATTTAAAAATTTACATTTCTCGAAGATGAACAACCTATTATGCACCATTCAGCCAGCCATGTAAATAAAAGATCTTAGCTGGTGAAGTATGAACCTTCTTAAGGTATGAAAAAAATGTTTTTTTCCAAAAGAAATCAGCAGTTCATTATTCATTCCTTAAACAATGGTCTAAGTATTTAGAAATCTTCTTTTATTTTATTTAATTAACTATATCTGTAATAATCAGTTTCAAATACTAACTCCTCCAGTTTGGTAATAAAATCAAAATGTCTGGTATTTATCTATATTTTTACCAAAGAGACTATAAGAGGAGGAAAGTGAAACATCTCACTAACTTTTCTTCCTTTATCTGTATCGGGCAGGTAACAGTGCCGTGGAAATCCACGAGCCGTGTAGGGTTTATTAGGGTTAGGATGCTCAGGACCCTGAAACAAAAGATTATCAGATGATATTGTTTAATTCTTAACATGCTAAAATAAGTCACAATAACAATCTTTACCTGAACCTATAATAATATATTGATTAAAAAAATCTGGCAGATCTTTCTAAACAGAATGAAAACTGTAGTTGTATCAACATCTTACTGTCACCAGAAGAAACTAACCAGAGGATTCTTTCTTTTATAGCAAAATTGCCTTGTAAGAACAGAGTATCTATGTCATAATCAATTAATTATTTCACTACAGGCTCAGTTGAATCGACTGAGTTGGTGACCTCAAATTGACATTTACAGTTTCCATACTATAAAGTCTAGCATGTTTTGTGCATCTTCACAGAATTTCGCAAGCTTTCAGTTATTATACTAAAAAGTTATTGTTTTATTGCCCTTTGAATCGTGATTACTGATATTCCCACCTTAAAATTTATAAATCACTTAGCAAATATGCAGCTCTCATTACCCCATTGAATTACATATCAGATGAGGTACTCGTGAGTTGTTTGTGAGCTTACCTCTTGAAACAATTTCATTATTATTATTACTTATCTTACTTAACCTAAAAAGTTTCTTATTTTTACACTTTAGTTACTTTTATGAAAACAAATAAAGAATATACATGAAAAAAAAAGAGGTAAAGTACTTACCTGGGTCTTCCTTTTTTTGTGCTGTTAACTGTTGATAACAAGTAAATCTACTTTTATATACTAATGGTAGTAATGCACTATATAATTTTTTATTTAATTAAATAATGCACTGAAGAACACAGAATAATAAAATGCAAAAATCAGACACTATCCCTTAACTATCACAATTTTTCTTGCTTTCTAACTATGCAACATTAGCCTTTAAAACTTCATCTATGCTCCTCAATGTGCTTCCTGTGGAAATAGTTTGAACTGGAAGTGAAATAGAGAATTCTCTGTACTGAAAACAACATAATATATACCTCATTTGATAGATTAAAACCTTGGCTTCCTATTGATTATAAATAATATAGTATTAAATGTCAGACAGAACTATTGGCAGTTTCTGAACGAATGTCATAGGTGAGCATGGTAAGAGATGTCTGATTTTCTATTTGATGGCTTTGTAAGTAAATAAAATTGAAGGCTATGAAAATTATGCCTTGTTTAAGTCATGACAACATTATAATTAATAATTTATGTTAAATTTCATACTTCTTGGAGGGGCGGTAAACAAATTAGAGAAGAGAGGATGCCTAGAGAGTAAATGTCATAATTCTCATATGAGGGGAAATTCAGATTTTTTTAATATATTGCCATATACAATTATGTAATTAAAACTTATATACTATTAAAATTTGGATTATTAGCTGTGTTTTTATGCCAAATTTACTTGTATACCATGATAAGAAAGTAGTATAATTACATTTTGAATGTAACTCACTAAAACCTCACGACATGCACAATCAAGATGTTGTATATTTATAATAGTTTCTTGATCCAGGAGCTGTATTAGAACCATTATTATTTCAATCATACTGAAAATATAGTGGTGGTGGTTAGAAAGTGGTTTTGATTATTGTAAAAGATGGCAGTATAAAGAGGTTGAGTATGTTATATTAACATAATTTTGGACCCTCACTATCTCATTAAAATGCATGTCACCACATCCAATTATACTATATTTGATGACTTTGTATCATAAAATAGCCCTGCAGCATAGTTTCCATTGCCAAAGGCTTCAATGTAAGGATGTCATACCCCTCCTCATTGACTTTCCATAAACTATCAAGTGTATGAGGATGATGGTTTCCTAGCATCTACTTCAACAGGCCAATTGCACAGAAATTCAGTGACTTCACTGCAAATACTGAATTAATATTTCATGGAAGGAACTTGTGCCACTTTTCCAAATGGAGATTCCTTTTCTTTGTGCTGTATACTGTTGATTAGAGCACATGGCTGGCTTTTGTCACTGGCCTTTGTGCTGTATACTGTTGCTTAGAGCACATGGCTGGCTTTTGTCACTGACCTTTGTGCTGTATACTGTTGCTTAGAGCACATGGCTGGCTTTTGCCACTGACCTTTGTGCTCCTGGATTCTCACCTATTATAAGATTCTGCACTTTTCTTACCACATCTGGGGTACAAACTGTTATGAGTCTCTTTACGGATTGGCCATTAAACCAAGTTGATCCACATTCCTTTGTTTTCAATGCTGTTAAGCACAAGAGATATTTCTCACCTTGGAAATTTTACATTCCTGATTTCAGTATATGAATATTTTGTATCAGAAAGGGATGTCACATACCCTTCCCAAAAGTGATTGGTTTTTGGTGGCATCATACTACCTATACAACACCAAACAATGTCAAAATAAAGTCCTGATACATTCCATTCAACCACAACTTTACAATCACTTGATCTGCTGATTTGCATATTGATAACCATTTTAATGTAACATACTGAAACCCTCTGTATTAGTATTATTTGTATCTAAAACAAGAATTGAGAAAGATGTAATTTCATTGCTAAAGTTCAAATATTAAGGACAGTTATAATTAGAACTTTCTAGTGGTTGCTGTATTTATAATTATTATGAAATTCAAAATTAATCAAATCCTTTACTTTTAAAAACAGCTTACCTGAATTCCAGGAGAAATATTGTAGATAATGTGTATAGTACTATAACCAGGGTAACCAGGAAGGCAGTGAGGTACAAGATGAAAATCCATTGACCCTGGAGGCTGGATACCTGTTTTTTCACCATAAATTGTTTTACAAGTAGGACACTGCAAATGGCCATCCTAAAAAGATAGTTTCAAACAATTTATCTCTCTGGGTTCTATAATATCACTCAATACATTTCTTAACAAGTAAATTCTTAGGAAAACATTAACCAAGTGTGCATGGGTTTGCTCCAATAGTTTTGGAGAAGGAATGTTAACTATAATTCTGAATTTACATAATTCGAAATTTATGATGTATATGTCAGTTGTATATAAAAAAATCAAATGTATTTGTACTGAAGATATGTATGTGAATTGATGACAGTCTGACAAGTCAGAGTGCATGTCCACATGTAGAGTAAAAAATACTTTTGTCCATTGTACAGTTTGCATACTGAATTTGCATAACCCCAAAAAGTCAGAAATGTGTATCTACCCTTTTTTCACTATCTCTATCTAGTGTATCTAGTATTTACTCACCTCTACCACAAACTGTTGTTAACTCAACAATGTAGGACAAAATGAATAGTTGATAACTCTGACACCAGATACATAGTCGAATGGTGAATGGCATTCTGTAAAATCTTGATTACTTTTACCTACATCCTTACACATAAGGTTAAGCAAACAAAACATTCATATTCATTTAATAAATTTTTCTGGAATAAGTCATATATATACATATATATAAATTTAATTAAAAAATAAATATTCAATGTTATTACAGTTAAAAAGCAAAACAAAATCAAACTCCACTATCTAAAGTTTTTATGCTCACATGATTATTTTTACTTTACATCAAAAAATTATAACAAAAGTCAGTAATGCATAAGCATATGGTCTAAGTTATATTTCTTTGAAAAAAATGGCACCAATGTGGTAAGTTATCATTTTCCTACACCGAAAATAGATATACTTACCTCGCCTCACATATAAAGCTTCTCTCGATCTTGGACTGCCCCCTAACACATTAGAAATCTTACTTCTCACCTAAAATACTAGCCTTTTTTATGTACCCTTCAGTTCCCACTGCTCATTTAGCATGCCTAGCATATACAACAACCCTCCATGGATAGGAGCATGACACACACTCCCTGAGCATGTAGCTCCCTCTGTATTACATTCTGTGCACTTCATTTTCGAAATTAGACACACGATAAAAGAGATAAACACCGGAAGTGGGGGTAAGGGTGGGAAGTATTCGAGAGGAGATAAGTTATCATTTTCCTACACTGAAAATAGATACTTACCTCTTCTCACATATAAAGCTTTTCTCGATCTTGGACTGCCCTCTAATGCACTAAATGAGATAAACACTGGAAGTAGGGGGTAAGTATGTGAGAGAAGGTAAGTATCTATCAGAAATCTATTTTCAGTGTAGGAAAATTATAACTTCCGATACGATACATACCTCCACTCACAAATCTCAAACTGAGTAGGTGGAGGGACTGGTGTAACAGAAAGAGGAATAGACTCCCTAGGGAAAACATTCCCAGAAAATCTAACAAGTGTGCATAGTAATTGTATGAAAGCATACAAATAAAGCTAAAATCTCACATCAAGTAGATGGAAGAACTGGTGTAACAGAAAGAGTAATAGACTCCCTAGGGAAAACATTCCCAGAGAATCTAACAAGTGTGCACACTAGAGGGGGACCACACCACTTATGGAACAGGTATGTCCTTTGCCAGTGAAGAAGTGAAGTGTCATGAAACAGGCAGCATCAAGGACCTAACCAATAATGGAAAAGCCTTGGAAGACCTGGTAGAAAGACTCAGCCCAACTGTACAGATGAGGTTCCACATCCCATCCTCAGCATTACAAGGTGGAAGACAGTGCCAAAGAATCAGTAGAGGAGAAATATGGTAACATGACCAGGGCAAGCAGACCATGAGTGACATATTGCAAGCAACCAGAATTACAATGATGGAAGTAAGCGAACAGCGATAACTGGACAAACTACCATATCAACTGTGAGAGACAAGAAATATGCCAAACCAAACTCAGAGTTATGGGGCAGTGTTTGATACTCAACTCAACTGTAAGAACATGGATGTATCCTCTGGCTGGTATTATGAGCAGGCACAATACAAGAACTACTCAACCATGTTCTCAGAATTGTGAGTAAAATGTGTAACATCTGCTCAACCATAAGGAACAGGATATAAGATGTCCCACAATGAGCATTAAGAGGTGAAAGAAGTCCCCCAAACCCAAACTAAGGAAGCAGGGAAAAAGACATATTGTAGCTGGAATTACTGAAATGGGGCATTTACTCATTTCAATGTAGGAACAGAGCACTATTAACCTGAACTCAGTATTTAGAGGAAAATCCAGCATTGTCTAGTCTGGTATTGGTTCTGTTCAACCACTATGTAAGATCTGTCCATAGGGAAACTTGAAGGATGACCTGAAAATCTAACGGATCCAAGAAGAAACTTCATTGATCTCACAGTTCCCATAGAGAATGTATGTGAGCATGCCTGAGAGGAATGAGTGCTTCCAAAGATGCCCACATCCCCAAAAGAGATAGAATCTCTTGAGCAAGCAGAGAAGGAGAGGATAAAGCCTGACCACCAATCTCTTCATATCCCGATTATGAAGGGGTGATGGTTGTGCCAGACTGCAATGGGAATTGAAGAATATACCCAAATGACTGAGATACTGGGTGGGGAAGAACTGATTTCTCTAACTTGATCAACTAATCTACCCTGCCACCTCCTGGAGGAGTAAACGAGTATGTACTACAGATGCTGCATGGGAAGGAGCCAGAAAAAGCCAATTGTCCATACAATGATGAGTCCTGAGACCTAAAGAATGGAGATGGCAAGCAAAAGGTTGGACAATCTGACAAAAGATGTAAAGTGCCATGGCAAGCCTTAATGAAAAAGCCAGAAACTGGAAAACACATCCCTCATGAATGAACTGAAGAAAACATCAGGAGGAGGGAGATATGTGCACATGAAGATAAGCATCTGCTAAGTTGAATTTGGTTATCTACAAACCTGGAATGAAAATCCAACAAAGGGACAGAAAGGATTCAATGGTGAAACAAGAAGTTTCAGAAACTTACTGAGATGGTACAGATCTATAACACGTCTCCAATCTCTGGTCTTCTTGGGATGACAAAAACTCTAGAATAAAATCCTGGAGAAACTGGAACTAGTGATTTGATAGCATCTTTGAGCAGAAGCTCTGAAACAGCCTTGAAAAAAACAAATGCAAGAAACCGGATCGTCTGAATGAGGGAACGGAATAGGGGAAGATGAAAGAGGGGAGGAGATCTGAAGTGAAGAGAAAAACCTGGAGAACCCACTGATCTGTGGAAAAAGTTCCCAAATCTCCACAAAGGAGTGAAGCCTGGCCCCTACAGAACCTGAACCCACAGGATAGTCACTGATACTGCTGCCAGTGCTCTAAACATATGCAGTTGACATGAGGATAAGAGCAAAAACAGCTAGACACAGGTATAGGATGAGGTGCAGACTCAAAAGGATGTAGGATCAGAAGAAAAGGAAGGCTGGGATAAATGATTCGCCAATGGTGAGAGGGAATTATCTAACCTGACCACAACAACCTGCGACTCCAAAGAATCGCGGCAACCCCAGAAAACAGTTATCACAAAAAAAGGAAACACCAACAAGTCCTGAAGGGAAGATGTGAGAGAGGGGAGGGAGGTGAACTTCTATAAGTACAGCATCTCTCTCCAAAAGGCACCAACAACAAATAAGCCATATATGGAGTGAAAAGGCAGACAAGGAAATTCTAGCTTAAGTTTATCATAAAAGAGAACAGAGTTCTCCCAAAAAATCATCAGGAGAATGGTAAAAAGCCTCTGATAACATGTGCATAGAAGAGAGGTAATGTAAAACACAAGTAAGAGTGAGAGGCATCCTCAAAATTTGGGCCTGAGTCAAAGAGACAGAAGCCTCAGGATCAGAACCCTATTGAGGTAAAAAAGGGCTCAAATGTTGAGAATCCAAATAAGGACTGGGAGAATGATGAAAGGCAAAAGTATGTTGCTCAGAAACACGAAGGAGGTGAGGCATACCAGAACCCAAAAGAATTTGAGACAAAAAACTTTGAACATGAACCTCTATAATTGGGGAAGGGGGAAAAACCATATAATCTCAATAAGGGAGCTCACTTAATAGGGAGGGGGACAAATCATAAGACACAGGAGAAAGTTGAAAAATACCACAAACATGTGTAACCAACCGCAGGAATGGCTTTGAATGTCAAACGTCCTCCATTGTTGCCTGAAAACAGGTGTAGCAAATGGAGGAGCATGAAAATCTTGGCCAAATCCCTCATCAGCTCACTCCACCTCTTGTGGAGAATACAACGAACCAGGCCCCATGTAGAAACCTAACTCCCGCCAAACAAAAGCCTGCACTTCCACAGCTAATAGCACCAAACCTGTGGCTTAAGTAAAAGGGTTAAACATGTCTCCAGACAAAGTAGGAACCAACGTAGTAGACACAGTAAATTGTGAGTTAATAATTTGCAAAACAAATTTGAGGAAAATACGTAATAAACTCTAAACTGTAAGCAAACTAACTGAAATATAAATCAAGAAGAAAAAAATATATATATAAATTATGGAAACATTATATAAACATGGAAACAAAGAAATAAATTTCCACACGAGAAATCAAGAGCAAACGAGAAACTCATCCAACTAATAGCATGCCAATCGAGAAAGTAGGGTACACAGAGGGAGCCAACTGCTCAGGGAGAGCTTTTTTATACCCCTCAGTTCCCACTGCTTATTTAGTATGCCTAATATATGTGACAACCCTCCACCAATAGGAGCATGACACACACACTCCCTGAGCAGTTGGCTCCCTCTGTGTACCCTACTTTCTCGATTGGCATGCTATTAGTTGGATGAGTTTAGTGCATTAAGCAAGAATTAAGTTTTTTAGTGCATTAGAGGGCAGTCCAAGATTGACAGAAGCTTTATATTTGGGTGGAGGTAAGTAATGTATTGGAACTTAAAATTATATCTGCAGGCTGTTACCTCATCACTGCATATATGAGAAATTTGTGAACCTAATATGCAAAAGAAGAGGTGTAATGATTTGTTGTAGGTGAAATGAAGGATGTCAAAATAAAAAGATATTTACTGATACAATAAAGAAAACTGAAAATGAAACCAAATAAATCAAATAATACAAATGATTGTGTAAATCAATTATTCTCAACCAATGGGCTGAAAGACATGCAGTTATAGGCTGCCACAAGCTGATACAACTGTGACTGCCCTCAACTAACAAGAGGTGAGAAACCCTGGTCTAAATACAAAAAGAGTTATGTTGCAGCATGCATGAACAGCAGAAAAGAACATAGAGAAACAAACACAAGAATTTTACAGCAAGTCTTGACTCTCTAAAAAAATAGCAAATCTAATCTGAGATTGCCAAAACTGAATTCACAACACGCATTCTTTCTGTAGCTGATCAATCAGAAAATGGGGTACTAGTATGCAGAAGTATCTCTGTTCCATCTGACAATGGCAAAGCATCCCCAAAACACAAGATCAAGATGGACACAATGCAACTATCCCATGAAAGAGAAAATAAGTTCTATGATTTTAACTAAATTTAGTATGCTACAAAATTAAATCTTAAAATATTTAAAACTTTTGTAGATAAGAAATACATATTATTGGTGAGTAAGGTTAGTATTTGCACACTACACTAGCAGCAAAACAACAAATAAAGCATCTTGCACATGATCAATAAATTACAAATATCACTAGCACAGGATCAGAAAGCAATGAGATCACTTCGACACAATCATTATATGATGAAATTATTAACAAGGGATCATAAAGTTATGAGGTCATTAAGGTATAAATATAAGATTATGAGCAGAAAGCAATGAAACGACTATAACATAATCATGAAATGATCAGATTGCTAGCTCATGATCATAAAGTGATAAGATCAAGATAAGATACTGGCCTCCACTTAATAAGCAATCATTTTTCAACATAAAATATTTCCAAAATGGCTTAACAATAACAATACAGTGAGTCATACTGAGTTATAAGGTTTTATCATCTTGTATCAAGACCTTTTGAGCCTAAATGTTTTTCTGACATCATGAATACTGTGAGTCAATCATACCATAACAAAAAAAAACACTTACCTTGAAACCTCTGACCTAAACTAACTACAACTGTTATATTAACTGTTATCTACAAGCAATCCTTTTATAAAACAATAGTGAGTCTGTGAAATACCTTTGGGCCAGAGATGTACATCTCCTTCAAACAAGAACGGTGAAAAATGTGGTTACAATGAAGTAATGCCACCAATCTTGGATCATTGTCGTAAGGAGATCCTTCAGTAAGTGTATCACAGCAAATTATGCAGTCCTAGAAAAGATGTAATAACTAATATCAGTATATCCCAGAAAACTGTACAGTCCTGGAAAAGATGTAATAACTAATATCAGTATATCCCAGAAAACTGTACAGTCCTAGAAAAGATGTAATAACTAATATCAGTATATCCAAGAAAATTGTACAGTCCTGGAAAAGATGTAATAACTAATATCAGTATATCCCAGAAAACTGTACAGTCCTAGATGACTTCCTTTGTTCCATAACTTTTGTGGAAAGCTACATAAAGGGCTACCAGCACATAGCAGTTCCTAATTTTGAACTGAAAGGCCAGAAATAAGGTAGCTAGTCAATAAAACCCATCACCAACTCTTGTCTGACAGAACAGTGGGATTTGACTATCATTCCAATAGTACACCTACGATCCCAAAGTTTGAAGTGTGTTATCGAAGAAATGGACCACAAACCTTGAGCCCTCAAATTCCTAGTCTGAGTACACTAACTACTAGGACATGCCTGGTATTCCTAGAAGTGTGTGATGTAATTAATTTGATTAATATTTAATCAGTCTATGACTTCATTTTGCAATACTACTTGTACCACATTTTAAAGAAACACAGTTATACTTTTGCCAAAAGGTATACATATACTTTAATATAAACTGAATAACGTAGCAAAAGTTAAGCAACAATGATCAGTTTTTAAAAATGAAATTCCTCTTTTCTATTATTTTGACCCTTGAATTATTTTTTTTTTGCCATTTGATGTATGAACTTCTAATTATTTATAGAATAATAAAATTTTATCTTTTAAAATTTTATTAAAAATTGGCTTTATTTTAAAGAGAAAATATTCCCTCCTTTTTCCTAATACTGGCCTTTTTTATATCCAAATTTAAACATTTCTCTCCAGTTTACACAATTACTGTACCAATATTTATCAAAACCTGACAGTTGAATTCATGGTATTCTGATCACAGCTTGCAACACTAAGTATGAAACTTAATAAAAGCCAGTGAGGAATATACATACTGGAAAATTAAAGACAAACTAGTATTACCTCTAATACATCCCTGATGGTTAATTCCTTGGAAAACTGGTCAATAACTTCATTGATGCTAGCTAAAAGATTAGAAATAAATTATTTAGTATACACTGATAAACAATGATCCTAAGACTTATTGCAAAGTTATTGAAATCTTACCTAAGAAATAAAAATCTAAATTAATATTCAAGGAACAATTATGACAAAAACCTGACCAAAAAGAAATGTTTTACTATAACTATAGTTCACAGTAAGAATGTAAATAATATTATTTATGCATTTAACAAATATATAAAACACATACATATATATATATTTAAATAAAAGTGTTAAACATGTGGTACATTATTTAAGGACAGTAATATAACTATCTTATGCATTATCAATACAATATAAAACCATATTTTCCTGAAGTCCAGTGCTTCTCGAACGTTTTTAGACAGTGTCTCTCTTCCCCTTGTCTGTGGTACTCGACACCTCTACCAATACACACACGTGTACATTTAGTAAGAAAAAAAATCCAACATGTCACTCACTAGCTATAAAAATTGTCGTGTACCACAGGTTCAAACAGACATGCATGTAATTATATAGTAATGTAAATTTTATTTGAGATACCGCACATTCTTCTTAACTGTTAGTTAGAAAGATGCAACTGTTTATTGGAACAGTGCAATTCCATTCACAGTTTGATAAATGACTTTCCACACCAGGTGAAAGCGAATTTTGTCCAATAATATATGAGCTAAAAAAAAAAAAAGGCATCAGCCAGACACACAATGTCATCTCAAAGTTTGACATACCAAGAGGTGACAGCTGCAAGAGCTGCTTTACTTTATAAATGCAAGAAAAGAATTGTGTGGTAACTTTTTTATTAACCTTCTCATCCTCTCCCCAGGATACACCCTTTACCCCAATTCTAAAAGTTTGTTTAGTCTATTCTTCAATAAATACAAAAGAAGAGTGATATTACATCCTACACAGAAAGAATGATAGAGCTTCAATATTGGTTTCTAGTAAAAGTACAACAGTATATATATCACACATTATTTATTACACAACACTGCCGATGAGGCCTTTTGTTCAATACTAGAGCTCATCAAGCCAGCAACCTACAGTCTTAGCTGAAATACTATTTGCTTATGTGTGTATACATATACATATCAATTTTGTTTATAAGCCATTAAGTCTTATGATGTATAATGCCCAAAGTTGGAAAGAATTATCTATCAAATGGTAATATTTACCAAGCAGTTTTAGTTTATACATTTAATATACTTTATGGCAAAAGCACTAGAATATTCCTTCCATTGAATTTCCTATGCTATGGTTCATAAATCCAGAATATTATCCATAAAAACACCTTGACTGAAACCAAATTCCACACTTTTCTATCATTTAAGCAAGCACAGCCATAGGAAATTATTGTTCTTTTAAACTCTGAACCTATTATTTCTAAGTGAACTTCAAATACATCAGGTATTCTTATTTTCTATAATATTAGGTAGTTACAATAAAGATTAAATCCACACTAATTGGACAATATTAAATTAAAATGGAAACTAGTTTCCATCTAAGTTTGGTATTATTCCATTAGTGTGGATTTAATCTTTATTGTAACTTAATTCACATATTTACCTATTTTTTTAAGTAGTTACTTTTAATATTTCTCTAAATAACTATAAATTCAATTAAACTAAAATTTATAACTATCTCAGCTTATATTACTTATAATTTGAAATGACATGAGGTTATAATGGAGGTTAACTTTCACAATGCCCTCCCCAAATGACATGAGGTTATAATGGAGGTTAACTTTCACAATGCCCTCCCCAAATGACATGAGGTTATAATGGAGGTTAACTTTCACAATGCCCTCCCCAAATGACATGAGGTTATAATGGAGGTTAACTTTCACAATGCCCTCCCCAAATGACATGAGGTTATAATGGAGGTTAACTTTCACAATGCCCTCCCCAAATACACTGTCTTTATTTATTTCAAGAAGTTTATTTTTCTAAATCAAAAGTAAGGTAGAACTTAATTTTAGTTTTTAAAGCTTTTTTTTTCACATATTATAAATATGCTTTTATGAAATTTTATTTATTCTTATTTAATGCAGACATATATATATGAATAAAGCATTTCTTTTTCACAACTTTAAACTTTTGAAATGAAAAGCAGCATGCTTTAAGAATAACTACAGACAAATAGAGTAAAACTTTGGTGTAGAGATAAACACCTTTGTAATCTTTCATTACACAAAAAATTTTGTAGCTATTCTGCCTTCTAGTTCTAATTGATGACAATCTCCCTTGCTAGGCTGATAAAAGCTGAACAATGTAGTTCTCAGATGGTAATGACATGGATTTTGTTAAGTTTATTTTCAGTTCACAACAGAACAAGAAACTAGAATAAAATAAAAGAAAGATGTTTAAACTCTTATCACTTACTTTGATGTTTCTTTGATTTTTTGCGAACAGTCTTTGGAGGTTTAATACCGGGGACAGGTTTGAGCTGTGTATCGGGAGTGTATGGAGGCCAGAAAATTGGTCTACAAGGTGTTTGGGCTGGAGCTACACCTATACAAAAAAAGATTTCCAAAGTTTTCACTGTGAACAGAAATTTTTAGGTTTAAAATGATCATGTTAATGTTTGAGAGGCTAAAATTTAGAAAAAAAAAGTATTGTGATCAAATTTGATAGCACAGAGATACACTTGATATTGTATCCAACAAAAAATCTTGCATCTCATTAAAAACTACTGACTGAGCTTGATTCATTCTAGATCTACTTAACAGATCTAATACCAACGATAAAGATGTCATCCATAAATAGGTCAAAAGCTAGAAATGCATATATTTTTAAATACAAATGACTAATATGCCAAATTCATCAAATTACACATCATGTAAACCATACACAGAGAGCTCTTTCATGTGTAGTCATCAAGATATGCAGGGTAACAGATGATATCATATCCTTCTGCACTGTTGTGAACAGTACTTTCGATGGGTGAATCTTATGACAGGCAGAGATAGTTTGGTGTTGCAAAGTAAAAAAAAAAAACTAAAAATTATTATGACATTGAAAAAAAATAAAAAAACAGAAACCTAAACATGACACTAATGAAGATTTAAATAAGCAGCAGAATAAATATGTGGTTCTATGTTCAAGAAGATGAGGTGATGACAGCAATATAAACATAACTAATGTTTATTTTCCGTATTTCTATAATGTATATATAAAATATAATGTAACAACTAAAAACAGGTACAAAGTAAGTGCTTCACCTCTAACCTGATTATTTGGAAAATGTACTGTAAAAAGACCAACACTGTGAATTACATGGTGTTATGCCACATGTTTTAGTGAACACAAGCAAATAAAATGCATTATGTCACACTAGGAGTTATTTTATATGAATAAAATTGCAAGAAAAAACAGATAACATTTGAAATTTTAATAAGTTGTGATTTTATTTTGGTTCTGCATAACATCCACAGTTTCATACAATTTACAGTCTGATTTGACTGAAAAAAATTTAAATTTTGTCCCAAATTTTCAGTGATTACTATCCATTGTATGAGGTTTTAGACTTAGTTTGAAGCTAAGCTGTAGTTTGTATTACAAACATGTGGACATTCAATTATTTATGTAAGGTTTGGCATGAACAGTTTAATCCATATCTTACTATAATGGACATAGCATGTAGATATGTATCTACGTATGTAACCAAAATAATAAATACAATGTGGCGCCATCTATTGAATATCAAAACAAACAAAAATCCATAAAAATTTCACACTTTAGGTATTCATGATTCAGACAATTAGAAAAATAACTATAATATGTGCAACAACCATTTATTTTATCACAGAACATAATTTTAGATAAAAGTACTCTCCTCAGAACAAGTATAAGATTTTCACTAGGGCTGAATCACTTCAGGGTTTGATTATATCTTTATTGATGTAATTTGTAAATATATTACTATATTCATAAAGGGTACCACTTTTAACATATAAAAACATTACAGTTTATATCAGCACAATCTAAACACTTTTCCCATGCAGTTTTTTCCAGAAAAATCCTTTTTTAGAAAATATTCACTTTTCTAAATTTTTTTTAATGAGCCATGAATACCATGATTAGTAATTACTAACACAAACCGCTGCCTATAGGGCAGCATTTTTGCTAATATAAATAATGATAACATAATGGTTACATTAAACCTATATTCATATTAAAAATTTGTTATGTATTAACCATCAAACATCATCTCTCCCCCAGACTTTATAATGCACAGCAGTACTTAGTTCTAGTAAACAGTTTTCAAATTACAAACTGTACCTTGAAACTAGTAACATTTAAATCTACTAAAACAAAGAATACATCATTGTAACACATGCATTAAAACACACACACACAAGTATATCTGAGGTGCTTTTTTGATTCTTTTAACATATCAACAAGGCATATATTTAACTACCTTATGTCTGACTTCATGTTTCACGATACAAATGCTTACATAAAGTTGTGTACACAAAATTAGAACATACCGTTACCCAAGAATGAGATGTTCTGACTTCCCTTTGGTGCAGGTACATTGTTCCTGAGCAGATGATAATAACATAAGTACAAATACAAGTTACTCCTAATCACAGAAGAAAATAATGTGATTCTAGTAACTTCTTATAAAGAGAAACAAAAGATTAATGTTTTTGTTCTGAATACTTGTTTACTATTATTTAAGATTCTAAAGTGTTGGAGAAAAATATCTCTTAAAATTGTTTTAACAGCTCTGTTATACTTGAAGTTTACTATAACTGCTGAAACCAAACTTTTTTTTTTGTTTCCATAAATTGTTATGAATCAAATTTTACACAATTTTAAAGTCAGAAAAATTCTAATCAAAATTTAATTTATAATGTTGATTTTACTGGTGAAAAGAAGTAAAAAGCCAATGGGGCTCACCATTTTTTTGAAGACTTTGCAGGCATGAGTTTCATGTTCTGTGGAAGTGTAGCAGGACTTGGACATTTGCCATCTACAGAAGATGAAAATGATAAACTACTCTTTGGATTAGATTCTTTTACAGTTTTAGCTGCTTTGGCTGCAAGATTTGTAACATGGTTTAAAATCCCATGGGCTTTTTTTCCTTTTGTAACAGAACCTTTGGTTTCATTACTGTTACTGTGCTTGTCATCCTGATTTGCAATAGCAACAAGGACTTGTCCACCTGCATAAGTATTACGAATACTGCTGGTATTTACAGCATTTCTAACCAGTGGAAAAGCTGTTGTTCTGATTCGTCTCACTGATCTCCTGTACCCAGTGAGGTTATTGATCTGACTCATAGGTTTGAAGTTCACCGTGTAGTTGTAGCCTTTCAAAAACTGACTCAGGTCGATATATTTCCTTCCCTGAAGAAAAAAAAATTATTAAACCATTGTTTGTTTAAAACTCCTGATACATCTAGCAACATAATATCATTCTCAAAGTCTTTCAAATAAACAAGGGATTAGTTTATTCAGTTTTCAAATGTTTTTCAACATCTTTCTACTAAAAATGTTTAGAACTAAGAGAGAGAGAGAGAAAAGAATGGGCCATCACAGGTAACAAAACCTCGGTTTTTAGTGTTATTCACAAGTCTTCACACTTGCTCCTGAGTCACTGGGAGTCATGTGTACAAAAGCTGAACAACTGTTTTCCAAAGTAAATTTTCAAGTTCCAAACAAGTCACAAGTTTACCTACTTAGTGAAAGTGGTTTTATGACTGAACTAGATACTTAATTGAATGAAATTTAGCAAATGATTTTGAGGTAGATATATCTAAACTAATATGCATGTCAGCATTTTTTAACCAAAGTTTTCATTTCTACTAAATATTTGAATGTTGTGACAATTCTCAGCAAACACTTTAACCCTATATTTACTGCAGGATCAAAGTGCACCTGTCATGACCTTTTACATTTATATCAAAATTTAACTAACTTTACTGCTAGCCCTTTTGCTACGGGTAGGTCTAAATGCACGTTACAACTTTTAACAGTTACAAGAAAAATTTAATTATACTGATTACTATTTTATTATCGATGTATACAAATAAACATGGCATCAAAATGTAGTTAATAATCAAATTTTAGTATTATACAATTTTAAGTTCTTAATTTTATAAGGACATGATTTAAGAAATCCTCAGTCTCCCCTCTGAGAAGTTAATATTTTCATTTTCTGAAAACATATTTCTGAGATACCTCTTTGTACAGATTAGCTATTTTCCTCTTGAGTTACACTCTTCTGCCTGAGAGACTTGCATGACACCAGCCTTGTGAAACTCCCACTTCATGAAAACATGTGAAATTGCACTACTGAGTGATGATGTATCATGCAGCATAACCCTCCACCAATATAAGTGCAACGCACTTCTCTGAACAAATGCTTCCTCTACATTCATGCATGAAAATCCTCATTATTTGATGAGGAAACCAATAAAAGTGCACTGGAAAAGTGAGGAAGAAGGGTGGGAATGTGCACAGAGGTGAGTATCTATTGGAAATACATTTTCAGTTAAGAAAATTGTTAACCTATGATAACTGTGCACAGATTAGCAAGAATCTCACGTTGAGATGGTAAGAGGGATTGGTGCAGAAATTACTTAAATAAGCCTCCTTTCAAGAGCACTAAAAAAAAGCCAGTGGGGTGTGACACCCTATGACAGGGACTCCACAGGGGTACACTCACTGGAAACTGCATTTCGTCTCAATCAGGGTATACCCTTCATCCTAGTGAAGAATAGGGAGAGGCAAGTAGCCTGAAAGATGTTGAAATATTTTGACAGGTAAAACATATACATGGCCATCTGAGAGCTTGCACACAAGCCATCAGAAGGCCGTTATGTGTAGTAAGGTTGGGTCACATTCTAACTGTACCAAGAGTGCTAACCTTCTCAACCATCAGTCTATATGGGTCAATACAAGCTGTGGGAGAAGGGCACATGTGAAAGAGATCCATGCACAGCTCCTCAACCATGAGACACTAAGGGCCCACACCAATTGCAAGAGAAGGGCACCACAGGGAACACAATTTTGAAACCATCATTTAACCATCAGACTCTATAGACCCATCATCAGCTGTGGAAGTTGGGTTAACGAGTGATACATCATAGTTGAATATCAAGAAATATCAATAACTCTACAAACATAATTGGTGGGGTAATTTCCTTGCAGGAATAGGTGAAGGACAATAGAGAGTAGGTAAGATATGTATCTGAAATCCACTTGAAATTTCCAATGTATCTAGACAGGTTGGGGTGATCCATACTAAACTCTGGAAACACTCCTGCTCAACTTCTCAATATAGAAGAACTATGGGTTTTAGCACCCACTTTCAGGTCCCTAGAAAGATTGGGAAAGAATATGTATGTGTACAATGGCTATCAATAGCAAGTAAGAGTAGGACTCATGTGTCAAGGGAGAGCAGAAACATCTGCCAGGGGTTTGGGATGAATCCAGGTAAAAGTGTGGAGAATCACAATGATGTCCAATTAGGCAAGAAGTAGGAAAAAGAGCAGTGGATAAGGAAGAAATGAAAGAGGGTAGAAAAGAGGCAGCGAATAAAGTATACTGTGACATTGGGAAAGGTGGAAGGTGGGGGGAAATGCTGCCCTAAAACCTGAGGTAGAAGAGACTTAAAGATCAAGGGGAACCATTGATGAAGGAGGAAGAATATGTTGCAATGTAATGAAGTTAAAGGGAAATGGTGACAATGAGATCAAGGTGGTAAGAACATCCCTTACACAGGCACAATGAAGAGGTAGAAGGGTGACAAGAGTGGGACAATTGATAGCTAAATGATAAGGGAGGTGGCATGGATAATCATCCACATAATGATAAATGGATATCACATCCCAAAGAAAAGAACAATGTGTGGGGATATATCAAAAGGAATGGAAAGTTGGGAAGAGGAAGTCAAGGCTGGGATGCTAGGAGGTGGAGTAATAGAAACAAGGTTGCGGTAACTTCTGAAGGGCCACCAAAGACACATTTATGGGATGTTCCAAAACTAAGCAAAGACCAAAGGAGGAGTTGGAGAGGAGGTAATGGTAACACACTTGAGACAAAAATGCATCCCTACCTAAGAGATCCCAGGAGAAAAGGACCCATGTTTGAAAAGAAAAGACTGAAGAAAATGCACCAATGTGGAAAATATGAGGGTGTGGGTCTTCTCCACATGGGGAACAGTGAATAGCCTTAGCTAGGAGGTACATGGTAGACAGGTACCTAAGGATAGAGGTTAGGATCAGCCGCAGTCTGGAAACTTAGGCCTGGGAGAACCAGGGTTGGCCCCCTACATTCGCATCAAAGTATTGAATTGTTGGAAGTCCAGTAAAGGAAAATTTGCTTGGTAATTAGCCAAAGCAAAAAGATACAAAGATCTAGGGGGATGAGACATGCTGGATCCTGCATATAATTGTGTATGTAAATGGTCAGCATGGAACCTAATATCCACAGAGAGGGGAAAAACAAGGTATTTTGACGAAAAAGTAGTGTGTAAAAGGGAAGGTGCAGGGTCATATGAGATGGGGGACACAGACAAAACATAACATATCTGTGAAATCATGTCTAAAAAAGCTGAGGGGAGCCTGGTAGCATCCATAAGTGATGCATGGGATCGCATAGCATAGGATGGAGTGGGAAAAACATTCAAATCCTCATCATCAAGACGTAGTAGTAGCCATGCTACAATAAACATGACATTAAATTCTGAATTCATGGTTCAACTGAGATCAATTCAACAAATTAAATAGTGAAGAAAAAAACAATAGAGTGAAATTCACTTCAAGTTGTAATTAAAATGCTGAACTATGACAAACTACTACTTTGAGAAACAATGCAAAAAAAAAAACTTAAATAAGTGCAAATGTGAACGCCCCCCCCCAAAAAAAAACAAGTGAAATTCCATGTCTCAACACAATAGTACCTAAATGAGAAGTAAAGGTTATGCTGAATAGTACAGAGGAAGTAACCTTCATCAGGAGAGTTTGTCACATTCCTATTGGTAGAGGGTTGTCACATGCTTATTTGCAAGCAAAGATGCAGTAGAACCACATTAAATTTTGGGTAGTTGGAAGTAAGATATCATATCAGAAATTCTATTTTATATGCATGGAAATATTTTGTAGTGCAAACTAGTGTGGAACAGTTAATAGTGGGTTCAAAACATGCTCTGCTTCCCCTATAAACCTTCAAATTAACCAAAATTCAGCTTTAAAATCTGTGAATTAGTTAAAATTACTAATAGTAATTCAAGCTTGAAAAATAAGAGAATATATTTTTAAAAATACATGTTGGTCACCTTTTACTGCATACATTCAAAGCAACAAGTATTTTTAATTACTTTATCCTAATTTAATTATGGTTAAATTGTAAGATATCTTTAGAGATAAACAATTCATATTGTGCTGTTTTTTGACTGCAAAAAACAGCACAACTATAAAAATATCTCTTCATTGTGTGAGAGCACAACAGGATAATGTGATCATTTTTCTGACCTGTTGAAAAGCACCTTCAATGTAGTTAGCCACTCCAATATCATAGTTTTCCCACACTCCATGTTGGTCTCCTGACCACTGCCACAGAATACCCCGAGCAGCTGGACTTCCTTCTGGGTATATTTTCCTACGAACAGGGCATGAAGAGCCTGCCAAAATATAAACATTAAGTATTTTGAATAAGGTTATTGGTCTTACAGATTTAATTACACAAACTGCATGAAGGATGACATTTATGGCTAAAATATTGCAGATAATAGATAGATAGAGAGGCCAGTCAATAAAATTAAGATGTATGCATATTAGGGTGGTCCTTATTTTTGAAGTTTTGACTTGCAACACACTAACTTCATTTTGTTCCAATATATAAACAAGTAATTCACACTAAATTTTATTCATATTGAATAGCTTTTAGAGGTTTCTCAAAGTAATTGAAATTTGATCTCGAAGCTCGTATTATATCTGTACATTCAAAATATTTCAGAATGTTCCACAGTATTCCACATTATTCAGAATGTTCAAGAACATTCCATACAAGAATAATCTATGCTGTACATTTTTATTTTTGGAAAATTCTGTATGATATGTCAGTAGTTTCTAGAATTTCTGTGAGAGTATATAAGCACTTGAGTAGATTCTTCTGTGTCATTTCAGCTGAAAGTGTATCAGCAGAACATTGCAAATGGATACTGTAGCAAAAAGTAAAACTATGTCTTGGTTGCTTATTTTAGAAGAAACTGAACTTACAGGAAGCAAATTACCTTCAAGTAGGCAAGTGTTGCGAGTGTTTTTCTATCATCACAATACATTAAAGAAAATAATTTGCAAAAGCTCAAAGGCTATGACCTAGGAGCTTTTTGGAACAAGGCTTGAATTCCAGTTTGTCCATTCCATTATCACACAAGAGAAGCTGTTTGAAAAATTGGTAAAGCTAAAGAAATATTCAAAAAGAAAACTGAAACACAGCAAGACAATGAAGCAGAGTTTGTCAATAATCTTAATAACCTTTTTGACATAACTCATAGGGATGCTCTGAATCTGATCAATATCCTAGAAGACAGGGGTTTTCTTTCTTCTCAGAGGGAAGGAGGATGTCAAGTGTGCATAGCCAAGTAGATATGTTTCTTTCTTTAAAGGAATCAAAGGGTATGGACATAAAATAGCACGCAGAGCAAGAACAGCAAACCTTGAATGAAACTGTCAGTTTATGGGAATCATTCCACAGTAGTAATGATGAAATTGGTGGGTACAATACCAATAAGTGATGAGGATAGATGAGCAATTGGATAATCATCATCTTCTAGACTTAAAAGAAGGCAAAAAGAAATACTAACACTCTCAATTTAGCAGCAACTATGAACAGAACAAAGTTGAGTGACAAAAAGGTAACATTTGTTCTTATTGCCACAGCTCATTGCTTTGGTCATGATGTGTAGGAGTTAACCATCAAACATTCCTCCATCTAAAGATCTCAACATCACTTCTGTGAAGAACTTGTCAAAAACTTAAAGGAACAGTTACAGCCAAAAGTCTTGTATTTCACTGGGATAGCAAAATTCCTAATTATCTCACAGGTAAATAAGTAGATTGTCTACCAGTGATCCAGTCTGGAACAGGAGTAAACCAATTCCTAGATCTTCCAAAGCTGATTCCTATCACTGAAGAGGCTCAAGCTTCTGCTGTGCTACATTTACAGGAAGAATGGGGAGTCATTGATTGTGTAAAGGCAGTTTATTTCAACCTAACAGCAAGCAACACTGGTCACAGAAATGGAGCATGTGTGCCATTAGAACAAAGATTAAACAAAACTCTTCTGTATTTGGCATGTTGGCACCATATCTTAGAATTTGACCTGGCAAGTGTTTACAAAGACTCTCGATTCCAGCAATCTTGGGAATACATGGACTAATCCAGTTATAAAACTGTAGCCGACCATTATGACGTAGCAGAGGCCATAGAGGAAGTTAAGGGTAGTGTCATTGAGTTTGCTACAAGGCAATTTCAAGTCAAACAACCTTGAGGCAATTACTGAGAGCTTCTTGGACTAGCCATATCATTTCTTGATGGCATTCATCCTCAAGGAGTGCAATCGATAGCACCTTGAGCATTGCATTGTGCACAATAGATGGCCAAGGCAATATATGCTCTCAAGATCTGGATGTTTACGGGACAGTTTAATCTCATTGGCCTTGAGAAAAAAGGACTCTATGACATCTGCAATGTTGTTTTTTGAGTCTATTTTAAGGCATGGTTCACCATCCCTGATGCCATTTCTGCTCCTGAGATTGATCTTAACTTCCCGCAATGCCTTGTTAAATATAAGAAGATGAATTATGCTCTTTCAAAATCTGCCTCAAAAATCTGCTGGACATCTATGGTAGAATTGAATAGCAGGAGTCACATGCATCATGAGAGTATGTCACTCATATTGGTGGAGGGTTGATGCATGATGATTTGCATGAGAGGTGTATTGGAATCAGTCAATTCCAATGGAGGAGAGAAAGAAGGTTTGTGGCATGCATAATTTTTATGGATATAGAGGGCAGCACTGAACGAGAATAGCTATTTATGTGAGAGGAGGTAACATACTGTATCGGAAAGTCCTATTCTATACATCCAGTCAGTTTCAAATTGATTGCTATTCATTAACATATTTTTTTCAAATTTATGTTGCTAATTGCAGTAGTCACCATTTATAGACATAAACAGTAAAAATAACATAGCAAACATTAACAAAGATTTATCGTTAATCCAAGACCTCACCTTTCATAATGGCAACTTCGTTACCTTTGTCAGGATAGGTATTGTAATTTTTCTTAACAATATTCTTGACCATAATCAATTATATCTAATAAATAATGCCTCTTTTCAAGCAATAAGTTTGTTCATTTATATGCATTTACTGAATACAATAATTTGAGCCACTGAAATATTTTGCTGTCACTTAATATACTTGATAAACCTAACTACAATTACTTGATGTTTTAACATAAATAAAATTTCCTAGATATAATTTAACATGAAAACATATTTTTTATGAAATAGATTGTCTAAAGAAACTATAAAAAATTCCAAGATCTGTGGTTTGTTCCTAAGTCTTCTATACTTCCATTAGATTCCTCTGTTCACCTCTACAGGAACTCTGGCTAGTCACATGCTCAATACATCATAAATTACTACTACACAAGCTACTTTATTTAGTCTATATTTACATAAATAGCTAATAATATCCTTTATCTGACCCTATTTAAATGTTGTCTATAACTATTTTCAAAGCAAAGCTTCATCAGTAATTGTTTAGACCACATGTTGTGATGTCACAAAAGGAATGACAATAAATGGCTATACTAATATAATCAACATAGAAGTGAAAATACACGAAAAAAAACAAGAATAATTATATCCAGAAAGGATCATAGTTTCTTGGAAAATATAACCCTATACCTTGGGATAGAGAGAAAATATCTGTACATATGTGTTTTTACAAGTGATACTCCACATAGCAGTACACAATTTTGTTTTTCAATTTTATTTGTAAATTACACTAAACAGATGTTACAAAATTAAAAAAATATTAATTCTAGAATGTTTAAGAGTTAAAAATTCTTGAAACAGTTATAATTATAATTTGCTTAAATGTTACAAGTCTTTACATAGTACAATGTGAAGAGAAGAAACATTTAGCCTTGAAGAAAAAAGTCATTTAATTATATGTATTACAGCTCTTTTTTTTTTGTCACTTAGTTCTTACCTGTTATGTCAGAGATTTGTATGAATTCTTTAAGATTCACAGAATAATAAGTTAGAGAAGCTTCAGCATCTCCCAGTCGGACCATGTTTAAACCTTTCCCATGGGCTCTTTCAAGGAGCTGGGCCACTTCTGGTGGGTAAGACTTCCAACGTGAATCAGCTCCCATCCACTCCCACACTACAGCCTGCAAGGCCAGGGCTACAGCCATGGTCCACACAGAAAAGGAATCTGTAAGCAACCAAAGCTGTTATTATTATTAAACATAAAAACAAGAGTAAATTATACTCATTTTTAGTAAGCATGTGAGAATAAACATAAGTTAAATATAATAAACTGTATAATTTGGAATGAACTTCTAAGCTGAAAATGTTCAATGAACTATTAATAAGACATAATAGAAAATAGAAAAAAAAATGCTCAAGCTTTCAACCTATTGGTATGGTCTTTTGTATGGAAGCAGTAGAAAGAACTATGGTGCAGTAAAACTACAAGTTATTTCATGTGGACAAGTGATTCCCATCCAATGGTGTGTGTACCTCGGGGGTAAAGAAAATTTTTTTAAGGTGTACACAAGTTACTCTTAATAATACTGGAAAATATGTACGTCTAAACTTTGAAAAAAAAAAGAGTGAATAAGAATAAAATACCATTAAGATAAAGAAACAAAAGTGGTTATTTCGGCAACTCTGCAAGTCTCTGATTGGTTTATTCAATGTAGCTCATCAATCATGGTTATAGATGTTTGTTTATTCATTCTAGTTGAAGCGTGCTTGCATTCATTGCAAAACATTTTCACTGGGACCTTTTATGTAAGAAAATTAAATTAAGTGATTCATAATAAAAATAAAACTTACAAACAGAGATAAACACATAAATGAACAGGTATGTAACAATATTACTGTTATTAGGCCTACTACAGAGGTGGTGAACTTAAATGGATGAGTATCAGTTTAGGAGTACTTTGATTAAAAACCACTGACTTTAACAAATTGCATCAACAGAATATTACAACATAAACCAATGTCACTTATGATGTTATCAAATTAGCTTAATTAAGTTTATGATAAACTAAATTAACGATTAATTTTAATTTTTGTTCACAATAATTACACATAACTTGTAAAGTCTTCATGGTAAAAACAAAAGGGCAGCAATATTTGGTGGTGAAAGGACTTCATGCATAGCAGTAACAAATCCTGAAATTCCCATACTACTAGGACTACATTTACTAAAGACACTTAGTACTGCTATGTAGTGGTTTAACTGGGATTTTAAGAGAGATGAAACTAACTTTGTGATCCACTTTTACATTCCAATCAAAAGACAAGGAATGCTAATGGCTTAAATTCATTTATGTTAAGGACAGATGAAATCTGCTTGTAGCTATTATATCTAATACACACTTAACATACTACAAAAACTTCAATATCATTTTCCCTGTGGTAAAGTATTGAGTTATTAATCATAGTGATCTCCAAAGTTCTGAATTTTAATTACAAAACCAGCACTAGTCTACACTTCTAAAGTTCTGAAAGTATTTGTGCTGAGAAGTTAAAACTGCTTCCAGTAAGTTGCACATTTACAACATTTTTGTGTATTAGCCATAAAATATCATTTTAATTATGTGCATAATATATACATTTTACAAATTCTACTGCAATTGACATTTTATCATTACTGTTACATTTAAAAAAATGAATGAGAAAATAAAATGTATATGCTTAGTTATATTAATAACATTTGGGTTGTTTTAACACACTAATATTTGGTATGTTTTAACAGACACTAATAATGACAATAATAACAATTGTTGTGTTTTAATCAGGGGTGGAATTCTCAACAAAAAGTAGAGATACTCAGCTGGGTGAAATGGACCTGTTTTTGAAAAAGAAGAAAGCTACGTGTAAACATAAAAAATTACAAAGCAGCTCAAATAAGTACTAGTACTGCCTTAAAAAATAAGTTCCAGTATCCAGTACTGGTAGAATTTCACCCATGGTTTTAATAAACAGTATTAATGGTAATGATATCATACACTACATTTTAAGACACTAATAATTATAATAACATTTTCTACGTTTTAACTGACATTAATAATCAGAGCCAGCCCTAAGAGGATGCAGGGCTTGAGGCAAATCAGCCTGTGCAGAACCCCCTTAAGAAAGTTCATCAAATTAAAAAAACTCACCCATCAGTGTTGTGCCATCTACTGTCTGAAATCCACCTTCCACAGCTTCAATGAGCAAACTTTGCTATAAGATCTTGGTAATCTACTTCTGATGCTGTTTTCAGAGAGCATGGCGAGTCCCCCTATCCTCTCTTGAGACATATTTGTCCTAAGGTAGTTTTATATTATTTCTAATTTGGAAACTTCACTTCCCTGAAGCCACAGTAAGTGGGATTGGAAAAATATCCTATACGTTATGATTGCATTTGGGAAGGAACCACCTAGTAACTTGAGAAACTGAATGGCTTGAAGTGTAGTTCTTGTTCCTCCCACAGCTCTGAGAAAAGGTTTATGCTGTCAATGTTGTAAGAATCTCCATCATACAATGTCATGTTCAAAATTATATGATGCTTCTTTATACCATCTTCTGTCATTTCTCAAAGCTGCTACAAACCATACAGAAAACTGGAGTAGCTGACATATTATTGTATTTGTCTGAATCATGTGATAAGTGACATAAATCTTGGTCCATGATGGCCAGAAATTAGTACATTTCAAATACTTTCTTGGGCACATTTGCTAACTTGTCCTCTAGAAATTATATTCTCCATTTAAGAGGCTATTTCTGTTCCTGCTATCTTGGCCAAGGTAAATCCAGTGTTCCTGTATTTCTGTAGAAACTCATGTCTTTTACAGCCACATCAAAGTGCATTTCTCTGGATTGAAGAGTCTTGCTCACAGTGTTTATGGCAAATAAGATATACCATACAATATTCTGAGCAGAAATTCAACATTTTTGAGCACATGGTTAGCCAAGAACTCCACCTTATTTTTGATATTAACATTTTCTTACACTGTAAATGTATTTTCGATAGGTACTTACCCCCTCTAAACAAGGCTTCCTTGATCTTCTTTCTGTCCTCTAAACATTGCTTAAAAAATTCTCTCCCAAACATGTCCCAACACCACATAAGCCAGGTATTAAGGGAAAGGGCAGAGGCCAATAAACGAGCCATTATGAACCAAAGGATGAACTTAAGCTCATCTGAAAAAAATACAGAGGAGTGACGAAAGACCTCTGACAATAATTGGAGGGAAGACAGGTAACACAAAAGAGAGCACAGGGAAAGGTGAACCCTTGAGAATTGAGCCTGATTAAAATGAATAGTTGCTCCTGGAATCAAACCCCAAAGGGGAAGTAGAGGATCCAATTGTTGAGAATCCAAATATGGATCTGAAGATTGATGGTATGCCAAAACATGTTGGTCTGACAAGCGAGGGGGATGACCGATTGAAGTTGGTCCAAAAATCTTTCAGTATTAACCCTAATGTCAGGTGAAGGGGGAAAAATATACAATTCAGAAGGAAGAATTTCACCAATAACGAAGAGGAGGCATCATAGGCAATAGGGGAAACACATAAAATACCACCTACCTGATTAACAAGCTGCAAAAAAAAGGGTAGATGGTAAAATCTTTTGAAGAAGTGTAGATTGTGACTAACCAAAATAAGAAGGTGCTGGAAAAAGGGAGTCCAAATTGTTTTATTCTTCATTATATTCTTCCTCAGACACATCATCAGGTTGAAAAGGAGAAGAAATCACCAGCTGAACATAGGAATCTAGCTCTTTGTGAATTAAGGTCTGTACCTCCTCTGCAGATAAGGTCGAACACTGGTCCTGGGAAGTTATACCAGTAGTGTTGTCCACTATCACTGGAACTTCTGTATTCAATACATTGAACCTTGAATTCATACTAAGTTTGTTTACAATTTGGGAACAAATGAAAAAAATTTTTTAAAACAATTGAATGCAAGCACAGAAATTGAAAACTGTTGACTTTTTTTTTTGAATGGCAGAGAAGCTCAATCAGAAAGAGTTGCTACACAGGAAAAAGCATACATCTAAATGATGTAGTGCCAATTGAGAAAGTGAGGATTGAGTGGGAATAGCAAAGGAAGCTAGCTGCACCAATATAGGTGATGCAATACTAGTCATGATATGTACATGTTAAATAGTGTCACAAAATTGGTTGGGTATATAAACTGGTGCACTGAGTGTGAAAATGTTTTTTTTTAGAAATGCTTAGAAGGCAGAAAGAGAGGAGGTAAGACTGTATCATAATTTTAAGTCACTGCATTCATCAGCAACTTCAAGCAAGGCATTCCTGATACCACCTTTCAGGTAAAAGATTGCTTTTACACTCTTTACTCTACCTTCCCACCTTGTTTCTGACAACAGCTTCGAAGTTAGAGCAGGATCATTCTCTATCAATATTTACCAGCTGTGAATGGAAGCAGCAACTATACTGTAAATTTACTGCATAACCCCAAAAAATGACAAGGCTTTTGAATTGCACTTTGCCATATCAGATTTAAGTTGTGGTGGCCATATAGTCACCAACACATAATTTAACAAACCTTCTTTCTACCAAAAGATCTATTTTATTTTTTGTCTATTAAATCTGGCCATTTAGCTGGATCACATATTTCTAGGCATAAATAGTACTGGAAAAATTGTCCATTTCCACAGCCCGAGCACAATCTACACTAACTGCACCATTGTGATCGCAAGAGTGTAATCAGAATATGGATGCCACAAGGGTAACGATAGAAATAATTGTGGATAATTGAAGAGCTTGATCAGTACATTGGGGCTTCTGAGAGTCATGAGATCTTTGAACCTCAAAGCAGAGCAGAGGTATTTTATGCCATTAATAACAACATACATTATGTTTCGAAAGACACAAATATCATAAAATAACATAATAACAATGTTTTGGGACAACATGGGACCTATTGGTCCATCTCGGCTGTTCCATCCTCTAAACTAAATTACAATCATTAAAAAAGTCTTAAAGCAAGCCCTTATCATTCACAAATTTATCAAGCTTTTTCTTAAACTACATTAAATTTAATGCCTCTACAACATCTGAAGGCAACCCATTCCAAAGGCAAACCACCCTGTTAGAAAAATAAAACTGTCTCAGTTGAAGATGACTCCTACCTTGCCAAAATTTATATTTGTGTTCTCTACTCCTACTATTCT